ACTGGTATAGATATCTTGCAACTATATCTTTTGGAGGAGGCCATTAGTAGGAGACAGAATTGTCAGATAATAACTATCTCCTGGACTGAAGATCCTTTGATCAGTTTTCAAAGATCCTCTGCGTTGTCTGGGAGATAATTTAAATCCCCAGGCCTTAATAAGGGTATACTTAATATACAGAATTTCAGTTCACAAGTCTTATTAAGAGTTACTGCATTTATGAAATCTTTGTAGAGAGGAATGCATACAGCATTGATTCGTATGAACTGATTCTTATCCTTGTTACAACAGAGGGACAGATCAGATCAATCAGAATAGAGCTGGAAGGAATCTTGGAGGGCTTCTAGCCCAACTTCCTACTCAAGCAGGAGACCGTCTACCATTTCAGACAGGTGGCTGTCCAGTCTATTCTTAAACACCTCCAGTGATGAAGCACCCACAACTTCTGAAGGCAAGCTGTTCCACTAGTTAATTGTCCTCACTGTTAGGAAGTTTCTCCTTAATTCCAGGTTGCTTCTGTCCTTAATCAGTTTCCATCCATTGTTTCTTGTCCTGCCCTCTGGTGCTTTGGAAAGTAAGTTGACCCCCTCCTCTTTGTGGCAGCCCCTCAAATACTGGAATCATCATTGCTATCATGTCACCCCTAGTCCTTCTTTTCTCTAGACTGGCCAGCCCATAGCCAGATGACTATTCCCAATCCGTTCCCAAGCCTGGAACGGAGCCTCTGGCAGTGAATCTTATCAAGGATGTGCTGAAATCAAAACTTACAGGGGGCCCAGGGAGACCCTGCAGGCCAGTGAATCCTCGGTGACCCTTCAGACCTCGTTCTCCTGCCTCTCCAGCTTCACCCTTGTCGCCACGAGGACCTTGTGCACCCTAGAAGCGTAAAACACAAGCCACCTTCAGAAGGACTAGGAAATCACAGGAAAGCTTGCTTGCTACAGAATACAGGAGATGGTGGTGGTGTTACTCCCACAATGCTTTATATATTTGCCCAGCAAAAAATGTGAATAATTAACTTTCATTTTGACAGTAACTCTACCTCAAGCTTGGGAAGTAAGTTTCATAGTTCTGGTTGTTATGTTCTGATGTCACAAAGCTCCTGTGTTCCTTGCAAAGGATGTTATGACATCAAACCTTGCCCTAAGATTCCAATCATCTCTTGATAGATACAGTGCTAATTATAGTGATTAAATTTGAAAAACATTTGGGACCTTTTGGGCAGAAATAGACAGGTTAGCTTGATATGTAGAAGTTAAGTCAAAGACTATACTTGTTTGGTCTTAAATGCTTATAGCAGAAGCAAGCAGTTAAATGCTTCTCCTGTGCCTCAATATGTCCACAGACATCTCTTTTCAATATTTTTTTTTTAAATGGAAACTAGTATATCACAATGTAAACAAAAAAAAAGCCTCCAGCATTATTTTCATCTACAAAAAATGCCTCCAGGGCCAAAAGAGAGCCTTGTGAGCATATTTAAGGGGGGGAAATGATGGCTGTAGTTATTTGTTTGAAATTGTACTCCCTTTCTGAGGAACAAATAAACAAAAATAAAGGAAAACTGGGCCGGTGGTAGTGAACAACTAGAAAGTATCTCGGGAACTAAAAAAGATGGCAAGGAACTACTGTTCCATTTGGCCATATAGGCAGAGGTGGGCTGCTGGAGGTTCGCAGGGGTTCGGGAGAACCTCTAGCTAAGATTCTGTGCAGTTCAGAGAACACCCCCCCCAAATCCCACTTCTGGCTTGCCACGCACACCCCACCCTGCAGCTCCCAGGAATCCCCGCACAGCCTGTTTTGGATGCAGGTAAGTGCAGGGTGCACATGGAGGCTCAGGGCGGGTGGAGAATGGGCCTACTGGAAGTTCAGGGAGGCTGGAAACAGGCCCGTTTCCAGCCTACATGGGGCCTCTGGAG